GCAGCACCACCACCATCTCCAATATTCCCACCTCGAGCCTTTGCAATGGAGTCCAGCTCATCAAAGAAGAGCACACAAGGGGCTGCTTGGCGGGCCTGTAAAGCAAAGAATGATTAAATACCATCAAGCAAGGAGCACGCTGGTTTCATACTAAGCCTCCCCCTAGAATCAAAGGGGTTCAGAAGGGCATCAGAGCACTGTCACCTCCAGGAGAGCTTGAAGGAGCTGCTTTAGAGCAGGCTCCTGCAAACAAACCCTCCATAAACTCTCCTAATAACACGATAAATTTCCCCAAAGCTGGGATCACTGTGAACCAGATAAACAGAAGGGTGGTAGCTCTGATGGCTAGAGGGTAACTGCCTGTGCAAGAACTCTCCATTCAAGATCTGGGGATATCACTTTGTTATTTAAGCACTGCGGTACTGGTAGATGTCGTGGGGAAGGGGGTGCTCTGGTCACTGCCTTCAGCTACCAAACAAGAAGTCAGAGAGAAAAGGGAGCCAAATGCTTCTTCAAGGTGTGCAGTGAGAATAGGTGCAAATTGCTGCAAAGGAAGTTTCAATTCGAAATAAGGAAAAAAATCCTTCACAACAAGAGAGTTAAAACACCAGCACACAGGGCTACAGATACTAAGGATTCTCCATGCTTGGCATGTGTCCAGAACTAATATACATGAGGTCCTAATATATGCAAACCAAATTTCCAAGTTGTCTCTGTGCTCTGGACAAACACTTGGAGCAGATGGTATCTGAGGCTCTTTTCCAACTTACAATTTTTTCCCCTCATTCTTCCTTTGACTTCGCTCTTTCAGCAGCTTCCCTGACCCGGTAAGAGGATTCCCATGGTAAACAAGGCATGTACCCTCTGCAACAGAAGGTGACACTATCTACAGGGAACTGGGTAGTAGGAGTCAAACTCCTTTCTATGTCCTCCATACTGAAGGACAAGCACCTGTAGGATGCTTTGAATATCTGTACTGGATATAAGATAATGAGGTTTCAAAATAAGTTAGTAGAGATGTGGGGGATGTTTATGTCACCCTAATGCTTGCTTCACTGCTAAGGCACTGGGACATTTGTCATCCTGTAATAACAGATACCAACTGTAGAAGGACAAATCCATTTACATATCTAGCTTCCCAAAGAGAATTAAATCCCCAACAACAGGAAACCAGCCCCTGCTCACACTGCTAGTTGGAGAAACACAAAATACACAAATAATAACCACGCCAGTTAAGACAGCACAATGGAGAAAATATGCTGGGATATCTAAGCACAAATACAGTACAGGGAGCAGAATAAACACCCACCTTGTCAAAGATCTCGCGCACATTGGCTTCTGACTCTCCAAACCACATGGTGAGCAATTCTGGCCCCTTGATGGAAATGAAGTTTGCCTGGCATTCATTGGCAATGGCTTTGGCCAGAAGTGTTTTACCACAACCAGGTGGCCCATAGAACAGAACGCCTTTTGATGGAGTCATGCCAAATTTGAGGAACTTGTCTGGGTGCTCCACAGGATACTAAATTAGAACAATAACACAAAAACCTTAAAATGGGCCCCAAAAGGTCTGTACTTTGTTCCTACCAAAAAGAAACCCCCCAAAACAACAACAAAAAAAAACCAACAACAAAAACAATTAAAAAAACACCCTGAGATTTCTAGTGAGTTAAATGCAGGATTCTGTCTGCTCAGGGCCACTGGGGTTTTTTAAATGGGGACTGGTTTGAAAAGCACCACAGCTAAACTGCAAAGTTGCCCTAAACAGTCTGTTCATTCTTAAGGACTCAACACTACAATTTGGGCAGTTTTCCAGCACACTTAAACCTAGCTTTGCTCTGCACAGCAAAAGCAAAAGGGAACAAACAGCTCATTATCCAACCTAGTCAGCTCTGTCCTCCAGAGACAGGCAAGGTGTCTAATGTGAACATTTATCCTTAGCAACAAGGTCAGATCTAGGCAATGACTGAACACCAGAAAATCAGACTAAAAATTTGTTTGTTTGTTTGTTTTACACTCAGACAAGGTGTCTCTGCAGTGCTAACTGAAAGTAGGAATGTATCAAAACCCAGCAGACGCAGACATGAGAAGTTTCCACAGAGCATCTGTGGGACTTTTCGTGTCCCTTCATAGCATACTTCATTATTACTTCTCATCTGTCCCTATGCTAGAAGTGACAAAAAGCTCTTTGAAGGCTCAGTGCATGAGAATTTTCATTCGCCTTCTAGCATATAAAGCCACTACATGATAAAACTCTCAGCAGTGGTCTCCACTTAAGCAAAACTATTGCTGCGTCTGCATGTAGCACAAAGTTCACTAAAGATGTCACTGCAGACTCAACTAAGGAAAGCCTAACAGGAAAGCTGCTTCCTAAAACCTTCCTCTTCCTCAGCTCGCTAACACAGAATATTAAGGTATTTTCAGTCCACTACAAGCAATTATTCTAAAAATCCCTGCATTTCACAGCCCAAAACAAAATATTGAGATTCTTTTTATGCTGAGTGGGCAAAAATCTGTTGGAAATCCTCACCTGTACAAGCTCCTGGAGTTCTCTCTTTACATCTTCTAGACCACCAATATCTTCCCAGGTAACTTGTGGCACCTCCACCACAGTCTCCCGAAGAGCAGAAGGGTTGCTCTGGCTCAGAGCCCACTATCATTAGAATAAATTACATTATATAATTATGTCATGTTCACACATTTCAAATAAGTAATTAGATGCTGCATCTAGAAGAGGGGCACTCTTGCATTACCCTGAAGTCATCCATGGTCACAGCCAGGGAGTTCATCACTTCAGCATCAATGGTTTCATCTTCTAGATCTATGAGATCCATCTTCTTTCTGATAGCCTGAAGAGCAGCTTCTGAGCAAAGAGCAGCCAAGTCAGCACCAACGTGTCCATGGGTCTCATTTCCCACCTGAAAGCAAAGCACTGACTGACTCATAGGCATACAGGCAAGCACTCTACAAGGGCAAAGTCATAACAGTTCCACTACAAAACACAGCATCAGGAACATTCATCTGCAGAGACAAGCTTTCCCAATAGCATGCTACTCACCTGTTCCAGATCCACATCATCAGCCAGTTTCATATTTTTTGTGTGGATCTGCAGGATTTCCAGGCGCCCAGTTGCATCTGGGATACCAATATCTACCTCTCTGTCAAAACGACCTGGGGAGAACAGAACACAATGAGCGGCTGATTATGTAAACCAAAGAAGCTGCAGTTGCTGTTTTCCTCTGACTGAGCAACATAATGACAAGCCATAAACACACAATTTCAGAAAATTCTCTACAGAATATATCGGCATAGTTGCAGAGTCAGATCAGAGAAGGAAAAAAGGCCTTAGCTGTTTAGAAAAATAATACTGTATTAACTTCTGTTCAAGATTACAACAAGCAGAGTATTACTGATTTAGTAACTTTTTTCAAGCCTCATTTGTAGAAAAATATGCTTTCCCTAACCAAATACCACAAGAAATTTTTGCTTACTTCCGTCTTTGCATACTCAGCGTATGACTTAGCAAATTCCAGACAGATTTAGTTTTTCAGAACTTTCTGCATTACTCATCAATACCCAAATGGTGAAAAGTAAAAACTGCCACTGCAATATTAACTAAGGTCCATGTCTATCATTTGTTTCTAGTCATGCCTCTGCATACTGAAGATGCCATTTTCTCCTGCAAACTTGACTTTTTTGCCATTACAGACTCTACCAACTGCTCATACACCAGACATTCACACTGCAGAGTTTTGAAAACCATCAGGATCCTCACCAATAAGAGAAGTCAGATAATTCTTCTGCAACCTGAGGCATAAACATCCCCTCAAGCAGCTATTTACTCACCTAACAGAGGCTACTACACAATTTCAAAATATTTTGTTATTTCTACAAGTTCTAACCTAATAAGACAGAAAATGATATAAAAGTCTGGAAGCCTAGAAATTTATTTCAAACAAGTAGCTGGAAAAAAGTCACAGTCTATGAAACACACAGATGTTTAATATCAATTTCTGCTCAATCTTTCCAAGGGCCCTGAAGCATAGTCTGTAATAAAGTAACCAATACACAAAACAGAGATAACAATCCTAGTTACCAAACCGCCTGAGCGCTGGGTCAATACTGTTAGGTCTGTTGGTAGCTGCCATAACAATCACATGTGCCCTCTGTTTCAGTCCATCCATAAGAGTCAACAGCTGAGATACTATGCGACGTTCTACCTCTCCATGTGTCTACAGAGAGAGAAAAAAAAATGATTAGACTAAAAGCTCTACAGCACAGACCAGAAATTACTGTTGCACCAGAGCAGACAGACATTACAGCCACAAGCTGTTAAGAAACACGGTAAACTGTATACAATTCCTCTCATGCCTGACTGAAATAAAGCATTAAGCTAACTGCTGCTTTACCCTATACTCAGAGACTCATGCCAACTGTTACCAAAAAGGGAGCATAGGCACTTCTTTAACACCTATACAGGCTGTTTTTACCTTCTCTCTCTTTGGAGCAATGGCATCCAGTTCATCAATGAAGATGATGGCAGGAGCATTCTTCTCAGCTTCTTCAAAGGCTTTCCTCAGGTTGCTCTCAGACTCACCAGCCAGCTTGCTCATGATTTCAGGACCTGAAAAACAGCAGCACTTCAGCACCCAGAAGCAGCTAAGCCCAAAGTCATGCAGATAAATTTTTTCAGTAAAACATTTACAAGAGAGTATCTATATTTCAAGCCAAAGCAAACATTATCAACATAGTTCACTAAATTTGCAGTTGAAGAGACAAGAACAGTATGCAGAATTATGTATGCGTACTTTCTATCATTATTCTGGTGTTTTCAGTTAACTCTAACAATTCAGTGCTAGTCAGCTGCCTCTTTTCTTTCCCTATTTCACACTTAGTGAGATTTTCTGTGATATGCCACCACACACTGTTAATGCCAGTCCTAGCTTGCAAGAGAAGCCATCATATTACATGTTGATAAATTATCAGGGTAGGGAAGGAAAAAGCTGTAAGATACTGAAGTTGTCTCAAATTTGTACTGCACAGGTACACATTTACCTCTGTAAGAACCTATAAATGAGCTCCAAAACAAAACACACACACAAAAAAAACCCAAACAAACAAGCAACCAGCCAAAAAGCAGCCCACACAATCTCCCCTCAATTTTTTTTTTTTTTTTTTTTTTTTAAAGTATAAACACATCAATCCCAGATTGAAGGACAGCAATTCCCTGAGATTTCCTACAGTTGCTGAACTCTAATGCTTACAGATCTATTCCATTTAGATTTTTCCATCACAATGTCGGGAGTGGTCATGAAGAAAAACTATGCTCCTTCTGAAAGGCCCAAGGAAAAGAAACTTGACCCTTGGGAGCACAAAGGAGCTAGCTGACTGAAGTGAGCCAGATGCAGAGCCACTGGCGCAGGCAGGCATTAAGACTTTCACTTCAAGTAACCCAACCAATTTACACCAGCTCTGCCTGCAGCACCACCTGCAGCTGCAGTCTCAGAATGAGCAGACAAAGAAAATATCACTAATTCTGACAACAAATGTTATTTTCATTATGCAACAGAAGTACAAGTCTGGAGAAAAAGGTGTCTTGTATTTATACAGTGACACCTTCCCCATGCTCAGGAAGCATATAATTACAAGGGTGACGTGGGGTAATAAAATCTTGAGATAAAATGCAAGTCAATTCCCTACTGTTGGTCACTCCTATGACATCTTGATATAAAAAGCAAATCAAGGAGGAGAAGGGGGAGGAGAACAGAAAAGCAGCAGTCCTGGAGTACAAGTGTTCAGTTAATCCAGCACTGACTGTAAAACGGGACAAAAAAGCATTGAGGAAAACTCAGAATTTGGTCTCCAATGGACATATACTAACAAATATCTCAACTGCTACAGGTGAGAGTGGGCAGCCCATTCCAGCAACTGACCACACTTTCAGAGAAGAAATTTTTCCTAATATCCAACCTGAATCTCCCCTGGCACAACTTGAGGCCATTACCTCTCCTACTATTTATTATTAGTTACTCTGGAGAAGAGGCCAACCCCTACCTCACCACAACCTCCTTTCAGGAAGTTGTAGAGAGCGATAAGGACTCCTCTGAGCCTCCTCTTCTCCAGACTGAACAATCCCAGCTCCTTCAGCCGCTCCTCATAACGCCTGTGCTCCAGACCCCTCACCAGCTTTGTCGCCCTTCTTTGAACACGCTCCAGGGCCTCAATGTCTTTCTTGTAGTGAGGGGCCCAACACTGAACACAGTACTTGAGGTGCAGCCTCACCAGTGCTAAGTACAGAGGGATGATCACTTCCCTGCTCCTGCTGGCAATACTATTTCTGATACAAGCCAGGATGCCATTGGCCTTCTTGGTTACCTGGGCACACTGCTGGCTCATGTTCAGCGAAGCGTTGATCAATACCCCCATGTCCATTTCTTCCACACAGTCTTTCAGCCACTCTGCCCCAAGCCTGTAGTATTGCCTGGGGTTGTTGTGACCAAAGTCCAGGATCTGGCACTTGTCCCTGTTGCACCTCATCCCATTGGCCTCAGCCCAGTGATCCAGCATGTCCAGATCCATCTGCAAGGCCATCCTACCTCCAGGCAGATCAACACTACCTCCCAGCTTGGTGTCATCTGCAAACTTACTGAGGGTGCACTCAATACCATCATCCAGGTCATCAATAAATATATTGAAGAGGACAGACCCCAATACCAACCCCTGTGGAATACCACTTGTGAATGGTTACCAGCGGGATTTAACTCCATTCACCACCACGCTCTGGGCCCGGCCCTCCAGCCAGTTCTTTACCCAGCAAAGAGGGTACCTGACCAAGCCATGGGCTACCAGCTACTGCAGAATACTGTGGGAGACTGTGTCAACGGCTTTGCTAAAGTCCAGGAAGACTGCATCAACAGCCTTTCCCTCATCCACCAGGCAGGTCACCCGATCACAGAAGGAGATATGGTTGGTCAAGCAAGACCTGCCTTTTGTGAACCCATGCTGGCTGGGCCTGATCCCCTGGTTGTCCCGGACACACTGTGTGATCTCCCTCAAGATGATCTGCTCCATAACCTTCCCTGGCACCAAGGGGAGCAAGGAATCCCTGCTGGTGCAGTACTGCCATCTGTGCACCGTTTTTGTAGCAATTGGTACCTGTTGCTCTTTTACTCATAGCAACCCCACAAGAGCTGCATCTTCTGACAGGCCAGGCAAAACAGACAGCTGCTTAATGTTGTTTGTGTCTACAGCAGCTATTCCAAAGGCCCATCGATACCCCTTAGGATCCTTGAAATGCCCCCTTCTGAGGTAATCAATACCAAGTATACATGGAGCCCCTGGACCAGTCACAATAGGGTGCTTTTGCCAGTTCCTACCAGTGAGGCTTATCTCGGCCTCCAACACAGTCAATTCTTGAGAGCCCCCAGTCACTCCAGAAATATGGATTGATTCTGTCCCTTCATAAGTTGAGGGCATCAGAGTGCACTGTGCACCGGTATCCACCAATGCCTTATATTTCAGTGGTTCTGATGTGCCAGGCTATCGAATACACGCAGTCCAATAAACTCTATTATCCCTTCACTCCCCCCCCGACTGGTGATTGATCTGTTTTGTAATTCTCTCACCCATGCTCATAGTACAGGAGTAGCTCGGTCATGCCACTTCCTCATGTCTTTTCCATGGTCACAAAGGTAACACCACAAGGCAAGTCGCGACATAGTATTCCTTACTGGAGCCAGAAAGTGTTTGCCTTCAATAGCTAAGATATTTGATGGTGCACCTGAGAAGGAGGGTTCATCGTCTTTAATTAGTTGGATCCACATTTGTTTGATCAGCTCCTTCATTAGACTCTTTTGATTATTCTGATCATCATCAAGCATTTATGATACTTCTACAGGTTTGTCACAATTAATCAGTGAAGACACTTGTTCCTGCATTTCATTCAGTTGCTCCGTCATTTGTGAGATGGCGGAAATGGAAGCGTGAGTTGGGGGTAGCTGTTGTTCATAGCTTTGGAGCGTAAGAATCAATTCAAAAACTAAGGGGCTTCTCTGTTGGTCCTGGTATCTGTCAAACATTGCTGCTAGTGTAACAGCATATCTTTATTGGTGCTGTTGTTGTGAGTTTCTGCCATATATCAGGTGTTGTCCTCACTCTCTCAGGGACATGGTCTTGGCATGGGTGGTTAGGAACAAAGTTAGGGTCATAAAACATTTCCACCATGGCTCTTTCCCTCAAGTACTGGATATCCTTTTCAACTGTATCCCACCTTTTCATCACAGGCTTCAAGCCATCTTTGAAGGGGTACCTTTCCTTCATGGCTACTAACACTCGTTCCCAGAGGGAGGCAGCCCCACCAAACATCAACTAATTCCTCTGTCAATAGCTCCTAGTTGGCGAGCCTCATTACCATCTAGAGACAAGCTACTGGCCCCGCTGTCCCAACAGTGAAGCAACCAGGAAATGACAGTTTTGTTCGGGTGCCATGTAAACTCCTTTCTTGAGCCTTGGATTTCAGTCATCTTCAGAGGCCGACAAGTAGTAATAGAGATTTCCTCTTCACTCTCTTCTGCATGTCTCTTAGTTTTTCCTTTTGCCTTTCCCGATGATGGTGGTTCTGAGGAGGGCCCCTCGCCTGGATCTTCCTCTACCTCCTCCTCTTCTTCTTTTTTCCGTTCTAGACGCGAGGACACTCGTTTCCATTTCTTGCCCTCCACAGGGGCAACTGATATTGCTACTGGTGTCTCCTGTAATTGATCAGATTTGACTTGGAGATTCTCCCGTTTGGCTTGAACCTCAGCTCGGAAACTCTCTCTCTCCAGAATAGTACTATATAGGGCGCAGTAAGCACAAGCCAAACCCCAAATAAGTTGTACCTCCTTAGATCTATGTAAGCCGCACCACCCCTGACTCAAATACTGGCTTCATTTCTCAGGATCCCACAGGTGTTCAAGAGTGAAATCCCATGGCATTGCAGGTCTCCATGCTTCTAAGATTTTTCCTAAACCTCTCCATATTCCTTGCCAGTCAGCATTCCCTGGTTTTGGAGGAGACTCCTTCCACATACCACGAATGCATAGGAATACATTCAGGGAGACTGATAACACGCACAGGAGTACGCCCACAAAAAGGAGCATTAATCCAGCATTCAAAAAACGTGCGACAAACTGAGAACAAAGCCTGGAAACTGGTCTGAACATTGTGCTGTTTGTAAAATTAGCTATTCCATCTGGGATGAAAGTGTCAAAATTCAAATCATACCATATTGCATATAGGTACCAATATAGGTACCATGCAGGTGTCTCCATCAGCGTCCTTACGTGGTTATATATGAACACAATTCCACAGCAAGAAATCATGACATTGATAATTGGCCAGTAAGTCGCGAGGAACATGACGACTTTTAATCCCTTACACAGCACTCCCATGATAAAGAGCAGGTTCATCACTGGTAGCTGCTAAAAAGGGGTTAATGCACAAGACGAGAGGAGAAGAAAAAAAAAAAAGAAAAAGCACTGCCCAGACTAAGCAGTGCTCAAAGTTTACAAATATCCCAGAATACTGGCAGTACACCTGAGCTTTCAAGGTCAAGTTTTTCAGCGCAGAAACCTGAACTACTGATAATGTTCCCTAACAAAGCTCTCTGAGAACAGAGAGAGAGATTTTTTCTAAAAGCTAAAAAGCAACTATTGCCCGCATTCTCCACCAAAAACTGTCACGGAGTTAACTAGATCAATCTATGCCCACGACAGGGGGTAGTAGGCCCCTGGGCCACCCCTGGCCCCACAAAATGGGAAGGAAAAAGGGATAGGGAGATGGAAGCTGGGCTCAAGGAAGGAAAAAAAAAAACAAAAAAAAACAGTGGCAACGATCTATGGAAGAAAACTTATTTTACTAACTATGATATCAGAATGCAAGATAACACAATATAATACAATCTAATTGAAATTGAGACTAATAAATCAAATAAGATAGGAGAGAGAGTTCCCGAGACCGAGTCAAACCTGAAAAGCTTGGAACGGCTAGGAAAGCACCTCCAGCACCCACTGCCAGGCAGTAAGAGACCGCCCCACCCGGAAGGGTCAGATCCCGTGACTTCCGTAATGTATAGGGATAGGTATGTAGAATTAGAGCATTAACACTTTAATTCCAGTACGTGATGTTTTGATGTGGAATACTGAAAACTAAAAAACACAAAACCATGACACCAGCCTTCCAGGACCCCCTTACCCTTCAGGACTGAATCCCAAAAGACTCTCCTTACCGGGCTCCTGAATAGTTCAAAGTCTGCCCTCCAGAAGTCCAAGGTAGCAGTTTTGCTGGCCCCTCTCCTGAGTTCACCAAGAATTGAGAACTCTACCATTTTGCGGTCACTCTGTCCAAGACAGCTCCCTATCTCCACATCTCCCACCAGTCCTTCTCTTTTTGTGAACAGGTGGTCTAGCAGGACACCTCCCCTGGTAGGCTCTCTTACTAGTTGTGTCAGGAAGTTATACACTCTAGAAACCTCCTAGACTGCTTTTTCTTCACTGTATTGTATTTTCAGTATATATCAGCAAAGTTGAAGTCCCCCATGAGAACAAGGGCTGGCGATTACACAACTTCTGCCAACTGATCACAGAACACCTCATCTGTCTCTTCATCCTGGTTAGGCAGTCTATAACAGACCCCCACCAGGCTGTCAGCCTTGTTGGATCCTTACCCATGGAGATTCAACCTTATCATTCCCAGCCCTAAACTCAACAACATCAAAACACTCTCTAAGAGATAGAGTATTGTAGCTAAGTTCCAAAGTACTTGTTATAGCTTTCAGGAAAGTTCCTGCCAATTAATATTATGTGAAACAAAACAGGCATTGTGCTTTACTTGAAGGAAAAAGAAATGCAATACAGATCAACTTCTTTTCTGAATAAAAGATGTTAGCAACAACAGAAACAAGCAGGCAAGCTCATTTCCGTAGAATAACCTCACTGCCTCACTCCTAGCCCTGCCTCATCAACATAAACCAACACCCAGCTAGACAGACTCCAAGTTCCCCCATCACAAAGCTGTCTTTAAACCACTGCTACAAAACAATCAAGCTTAAGGACAGTGCCACTACAGATGCTTTTACACAAATGGTCTCTAAGCATCTCCAAAGAGGCTCCTGAAAGAAGGAAGGAAGGATGGATGTCAAGGAAACAATATGACTATATAAGCCTTATCTAAACCATTCACTACCAGTAGCTACATCAATGACTACACAGAAGATTTGGGTCCAAGTAAGACAGAACTTACCATTAATCAGGAAGAAAAAAGCCCCAGTTTCATTGGCTACTGCTCGGGCAATCAAAGTTTTCCCAGTGCCAGGGGGACCATACAGCAGGATTCCACGTGGAGGCTGGGGTCAGAGACAAGGGACTTAGGTGGTAAGCTAGTATCTGAATGCCTAAGTAGCTTCACAGTGAAATTCCAAGCATTTGATAAAGTCAGTCCAAAATAGTGATGCAAGCTCATGCAACAGCTACCATCCTACCATCAACACCCTTACTATTTTGCATGACACAAAAACCTTGTAAAGTAGAGCAGCATTCTGAGTCAGTACTGCTGTAATTGACAAGTGTCAGTACTTTAATCTGTGCCTAAAGCATGTAAAGAAATACTCTAACATCAGCATTCAAAAAATAAATGCAAAAGTTACTTATTCCCATCCAATAAGTAAGCTTCCTACATCTAGAAGCATCAATAAAGCTAAGATCACTCATCCACCTGTTACACATAGGTGCTTACCTTCACCCCTATGGCCTTGAAGAGTGCAGGGTGTCGAAGAGGAAGTTCTACCATCTCTTTGATCTGAGCCAGCTGCTTTCGGCAGCCACCAATGTCATCATAGCCCACCTCGTTTAATGACTCTTCTTCATCCTACCAAGAAGGAAATTTATTTTGTTTAGCACCATTTCTTAGTTGTTCTGAAATTCTCATTTTTCAAGTCTTCCTCATATCTTCTACAATTGTTTCTTAGTTCTGATTCCCAGACGTACAATGGCAATTGCCTGCATGTACCTAATCCTCACTGGAACCCACCCTCCTGTATAACAGACTCTACTACCAGGTTCCTTACAGACTCTAGCACAAAACTAACTGTGTGATCCTCTGCAGCTAACAGAAAAACAGACAATGAAATCCAGTATAAAATCTACTTAGTCCTTAAACTGTCAGTGATATTTGTAACTATATGAAATATCCTAGCTATCATGCAGTTCTCAGACATAGTGTTTTCTTTTGGGATTAACTCAAACTAAGAGAATGTTGAGATTCAGACATGCAGATAAGACCAGCTGTAACTAATTCTTCTAAGACAGCCCTACAGCATTCATTCAGCTCACATCTGTGCAAATCTCTACTGATCTTAGTTATCCATAACATCAGGCAACACTAAAATCATAAAATAGCCTGGAATCTCAGAGGGACTCAGACCAAAACCCTACAAAGCCAGGACTATTATTTCAAGTGGGTTGCTCAGTCTGTACCTAAAAAGCACTGAAGGTCTTCAGTCTTAGAGATTCCTGACCTCTCTGGGCCCTGCCCTAAGATTTAGGGAAACCTTTTTCCTAATACCTACCGGGAATTTCTCTTGAGCCAGCTTGTGCCATTGTTTCTAGTCTTGTCCCTGGTCACAACTCTCTACCAGGTGGATGTCAATAAGCCTGCCCTTTCACCTTCCCTTCTCTAGGCTGCATAAACCCATTCTCCCAGCCTCTTGTTTATTTTGACCTCTAACTCCTCCTCATTTGGAGGAATTTATTCCTGTCTACCTCTGCTGTGTCCTGAAGAGCACAAACAAGATTCCCTGGTGCCTTACAACCGTTGAGGTGAATTTTTCAGAAGGCAGCTAACTACAAACCAGCACTCTGACTTGTGGGTAGTAAAAAGGCAGTCACTTCATGAGGCATACCAGCCACCATTATCCCATCTCTCTGATATTTCCTACCATTTATAAAAAGTAAAGTGCCCAACTCCTGACAGACAAGCCACACAGTCTACCTTAAACTTGGGATACTCAAGGCTAAATACTTCAAGGGACTGAAATAAAAATAAATTATTTGGAAATCAAGTTTCTCACTCAAAAAGCATTAATTGCTTTCTCTTCATATGGCATGAAATCTAGTAGCACATTAAGCCCTCCCTGCTGTGGATCAAGGGAACTTTGGAATTAAATGATGCATTTAATGTCCATAAATTCCATTTAATTTCCAGCACAAGATATCTGGAAGCAGATATAAAACCAGCTGCTACTAAATTATAGCAGCTCCTTAACAAACCTAAACAGCAGTGTTATCTCAATATCTGAGGAAGGATACTGGCAGCAAATTTCTCTGACTACTGTCAGGAGTAGCTCATCCCCTGAAGCCAGAGCTTCTAACCATTACATTCTATACACAAAATGTCAAACCAGGAACTGCAAACACTGTCATAGAAATAGATGTCACTAGACAGAGTGGATTCAGTACAAGAACTGAGTGACAGGATTCTGCTCACCTCTCGCTTGATGGGCTCTCCTTCACAATGGATTACTGTGTCTGGAGCCACTATGCAGTAAGGACTCGGATCTGTCTCCACCACTTTGAACTCCACTGCACGCATCCCTCCTCGCACCAAGAAGATGTCACCTATAAAATCTCACATTTTTAATAACCTACTGCAACTAACATTTGCAAAACATCAACCCCTATACTACCAGCAGCCCCCAAGGACAAGGAAGTAGGTTACACATGCATATACTGCTGGTATTTTTAATATTGCTCTGTGTTTTAAACTCAAGAGCTGCATGTACTGAGACAACCAGGGCATCATTTAGATCTGTAGCAAATAAAACTTATCAAATTTCATCCAGAATCAAACAGCAAATAAGAGAAAAGAATACTCTGCCTAAATACCAAATAATTAAAAGCAACGAACCACATTTTCCATTTGGATTCAATTTAACTGTTCTAGAACACTTTTGATTCACAAAAGACATCTTTCTAAAAATAATTCAGATATTGTTTTTTTTTTTTTTAAAAGTTCTAATTGGTTTACAATTTGTGTTTGATCAGCCACCTAGTCACAAACCTGCCCAAGGTCCAAGCAGTCCCTAATCTTTTGAAACAGGCTAAGAACAGAGTCCAACAGTAAGATGCTCATGCTGTTCCTGTCTCCTTTAGAAACTACCTATCAATTTATAAGAGCTGCTTACTCCCAGCGTGTAGCCCAGGGACAGTAAATAGTGCAATCACAAGTGAAAAGTCATAAGATAGGAGAAATTTTAGTCAGAAGCAACCAGGGAAAAGACAAAACGTCCTAACATAATAAAAATTTATTTTGAATTTATTATAAGTCGCTATTAGCTAGAACAGCTCATCTTCAGAAGCAGAACAACATATAATATTGCACTATGACTTCTGGCTAAACTCGCCTACAGAAGCTGGAAAGCTTCATTCAATTACTGTCTATACTTTATTAGGATCTATTTGTTCCAGCAGAGCTACTACTAATACAGCTCTAAAAGCACGTTTTGTTTTCTAAGCACTCTCCTAGTTATTAAATTCACTTCTTCCAAGTAATTGAATTAATCAGGGTGCCAGCTGGTATATATCTAACCAATTGATTAACACACAAGCAAACACCCAATCCTGTTAAGTAGTAGCAACTTAATTTAAAAAGATTTTATCATAAGTTCTACATAAGCCTTTTCCAATACACTCTCATCCAATCCAGAAAAAAAAAATAAAAAATCAGCACCATCAAAATTTCACTCTACAGATGCCAGCCTGATGCTTTGCAGAGATCTGTGCAAGTTCCTAGAAATCTCCTTTACTCAGTCTCAGAACTAGACCACAATTATTGTCATTAGGACTTCTATAACAGGTGCTATTACCTTTCCTGATGGGTCTGTATGCTTCCAGGAAGTATGGCTTGAGATAGACCTCAAACAGATTCCCCGTGATCCCTTCTACTGTGTCATCAATTGGCAGCACATGGATACGTTTGCCATATTTCACATCGGGGCAGGGCTGGATACTGCAACAGAAAAAAAATGCCAGTTAGCCACATAATCTTGGACTTGCACCCAAGCCTGGAAAAGGTTGCGATGTCTCTTCCCAGACCAGTAAAACTTCCAGAAAGGACTCTCCAAATCCTCGCTGACACCCACCTGCCTAAGAACATTTCAATGCTGACAAGGTAAATGCAGTACCCACTGGAAAACTACTCTCTATGATACATGCCTTCATTCACCCCTCTCAAGGGAAAGAGGTCTCCAGATTCAATGACAATGCAAGGGGCCCTATAGTTGCTCCAATGCCTGCAATGGTTCTGTGATTAAACTGAAGAACTCAGTCTGTATCAATATATGGGAACTGTTGAGTCAAAGCCTGAACCACTGATTGAGCACCTGGGGAAAGGACCAGGTCAGCCCTGGGAGCACAGGTGAAGGCAATTCACCTGTGTGACCAGAAGGGGTGAAGACTGGCTGTACCTCTCCTAGACCTCATTTAAGGGCTGACTGGAAAATACTGAAGCTTTCTCCTCTAAACCTAGAATCTTTTGATCTGAGTGAATGTCATGGTTTTATGTTTTTTGGCCTTCAGTATTCCAGATCAAAACATCATGTACTGGAATTAAAGTGTTAATGCTCTAATTCTATGTACCTATCCCTATACATTACGGAAGTCATGGGATCTGACCCTTCCGGGTGGGGTGGTCTCTTACTGCCTGGCAGTGGGTGCTGGAGGTGCTTTCCTAGCCGTTCCAAGCTTTTCAGGTTTGACTCGGTCTCGGGAACTCTCTCTCCTATCTTATTTGATTTATTAGTCTCAATTTCAATTAGATTGTATTATATTGTGTTATCTTGCATTCCGATATCATAGTTAGTAAAATAAGTTTACCTCCATAGATTGTTGCCGCTGTTTTTTTTTTCCCTCCCTTCCTTCCTTCCCATTTTGTGGGGACAGGGGTCTACTGCCCCCTGTCACAGGCATAGACTGATCTAGTTAACTCCGTGACAGCGAGCAATCTTCTTTCCTTCCTTTACAGCACCTTTCTGATGTGCTGCTACATCTGTCATCACGCCTTTGTAGTAACAGCTTTCCCAATGTACTGATCTCTCCAATTACTATAGTTGGTGTTATTTGCTCCTTTATACAAGACAAAGAAGTAACTACTAAACTCAAATTGATTAGTAAGGACAGCAATTCCTGCTAAACCAAGGATGGAAGGACAAGATGAAGCTGAAGCAGGGCTGTCACAAGAACATGAGGAGGAAGAGTCAAAATACATAACCACTTGACTCCTAACTGAATAAACTGAGATATGTGGAAAGACTTCAGCCATCACCCAGGTAAACATATTGTCACCTAATTGCTCCCATGCTGAGATAATGGTGTCAGTAGCCTGGACTTAGAAGGAAGTGAAACTAAGCAGCTGAGACACATCTCTACAGAAAGTGCAATTGACAAAGCAATCAGAAGAAGGACAAAAGCCTTCACTCTACAGAAGTCACTTCTCTTAGCTGTGAAGGAAAAAACTTCCTAGAAAACTCAGTATTCTTCCCAGGTAGGCAGACTACCATGGACAAAGGCACCCAGAACCTGAGGTAACAAGCTGTACTGGAGATATATAATATTGACCTGGACACGGATAACTTATCCCACAATCCAAAAGACACGAGGTGCCTGTGATCTACGTGGTGGAAATTTGCACAGAGTGCACCATCATTATGTACCACCACTCAAGCAGCAATGGTCTGGAAAAAATAATAAAAACCCAATAGTGGACGAAATTGAAAGCCTACTTAGAAAATATGAAGAGAACAGGGAGGGTAAGTCTGTGTGAGTGTAGCCCACACTGTCCATACAGTACTACAGCTGCAGGTGTGGGAGGTGGGTCAAGTGGCAGGGTATGTAAGTGTTGTCCCTCTTTGCTCAGGAGACCAGCTTTCTTCTTGGCGGTCTCTGAGACCGCAGGCCTAAACATGGTCTCTACAAGACAGCAGGCTTCCTCAAAGATGACCGTGGCAACCCAGACAGAAGGCCTGCCCAGAAATGTGGCTGTTCAGGTCTCTGTCTACAGGGAGTGCCTGAGCCTGCTGCTGCCAGAGGAGGGTGGCAAGGATTCCACCGGTGTGAGGTGTGAGCAGGTGGGTGAGCTGCTCAGCCTGGTGGTGAAGTTCAAGGAAGAGGTGGATAGGCTAAGGGCCATCAGGGAGTGTGAGCAGATTTGCTCTCCTGAAGTTCAGGGTCCTGACTCTACTCTGCTTATTTCCCATGCTGCATGCATTAGTGTAAAGGCACTTCAGACAGGCTTTCTGACACACTACCTTTCTAGAGGGGCCCTTACTCAAATCTCCAAAAGAATTCTGAAGTTTTCCCCACTGCTTTCTAGAGAGACACGAGAAGGTTTCGGATGGAGGGGTCAGCAACATTACCTCTTCTGAAGAGTTCCCAGAAGATCCTACAGGACAGTTCAGAGGCTTATCTCCTCCATCTCCTACAACAACAACATCCCCAAGCCCTTCTCTGTCCCACTGACCTCCACCCGCTTTCCCCATCAAATCCAGTTGAAATTTCTGAACTACTTGCTCCACCTTAGCGAGCAGTCATTTTATCCCCATCCCCCTTCACACCTAGTTAAAGCTCTCAACTAGCCCTGCCAGCTCCTGGGCTAGGATACACTTTTCCCACAGAGACAGGCGAGACCCATCCACAGCCATCAGGACAGGCGCCAAGTAAACCGCCCCATGGTCAAAGAACCCAAAGTTCCTGTGGTGGCACAGACCTTTCAGTCACTTATTCAAAGCCTGCGTTTTCCTAGACTGCTCCGTATCCCTCACCACCCCAGAAGGGAGAAAGGAAAACACCACTTGCGCTTCCACTCCTTCGACCAACTGCCCTAAACCCCTGAAATCCTTTTTTTGATAGCTTGCAGGCTTCCCTGACTGATTTCATCACTACCTACCTGAACTATCAATAGCGGGTAGTGATCAGAAGAGCAAACCAGACCCGGGAGTTTTTTAGTCATGTCCCTGACACGGGCCCCAGGGAGGCAGCACACCTCCCTATGGGTCAGATCCGCAAATGGGGCCCTCCGTTCCCCTGAGAGGGGAGTTGCCCACCACAATTACCCTCCTGTCTTTCCTGACAGAGGCAGTCTCAAGGTGTGGGGGTGACCGCCTCACCCTAGGCTCCCTCCTAGGCAGATCCTCCCTTGCCTCCCCATTCACCTCCCCTTCAATTTCCAGCATCTCAAACATGTTGCTTAGCGGGACCTGGGGGAGCAGGGTAGGCAGGCAGGGGGTGCGCCAGTGATGCCGAGACAGGACTCTCTTCCAACCCTCTTCATCTGTCAGGTCTGTCCGACTGTGACAGGGCAGGGGGTCCACCACTTTTCAGGGGATATCTCCCTAGCACCCTTCCCTCCAGCACACCAGCGAGTCACTCCACCAGTCAATCTGCCGCTCACACTCCCTGATGGCCCTTAGCCTATCCACCTCTTGCTATTTGACTGCTTCACATTTTTGTTGTTCATTACTAGCAAGTTTTAACTTCTGTATCTCTAGCTCAAGCAATGAGCTGCCTTGAGACACTGTGAGATAAGTTACACTATTATGTAATGCTTTTCTATGTGAATTTTTCTTGTCTAAATTCTTTCATGTCTACATGAGTTCATTTGACCATTTAAATTTAGGATAATTGAACTACTCAATTTAATGATAGGACCTAGGCTTATGTAAGTGCTGAAGAGACTTTATGAATCTTCACCATCAGTTCTTAATATTAAAGTATGATCATAGCTAGGAACGTATGCAGAAGTTAACTGAGATCCCTGATGTAAGCCATGGGCTTGGAAACATTTCTGAGTTCTCCTCTGGAAGATACAAAAATACTTCTTGCAGATCCTGTCTTTGCTATTGACTGAATCAACTCAGAGCCAGCACACATTTAGGCAACCCAGAGATATGCAATTGTTGGCAAACCAGTTCCTACCTGATCACATCACCCAGGCGCACTCTCAGGTTGTTGCGAACAACCCTATTCATGCGAATCTTCTCATCTGAGCAGGTATCATCTGACAGAACAATGCAGACTGCTTCTCTCCTCTTTTTTCCTTTTAACAGAACTGTGTCTCCTCTGAACAGCTGTAATTCATCCATTTTTGCCTGTAAACAATAACACTAGAACAAGCTTTTGACAAAAAAAAGAATTCAAGCATTTGAAGGAGAGTTACATCTTGGAAATGATATACTAAACCCTCAAAGACACAGGATCCCACTATGCTGGTCAAGAGTTCAGAATTAAAATATATTTTATCATGGAAATGCGCTAGAAAATAAAACAACCCACCTCCCTCATTTGTAACATTAAGTATTTGTATAAGAAGTTGCAGCTGTTACATTTCAAGTTAACATACAGCAACAGTTTATGTGTTGCCTAGATTAAGTTTTTACAGGACATGCACCTGGGACAGTGACACAACACTGTTGTCTTCATTGATGGCTTCATCAACAATTAACCGATTAGGCCTGTTCTTCTGCTTCAGAATAGCAGTTGATAAGTCATCTGCTTTAGAACTGGAAAAGAAAACAGAAGTAATGAGTAAGTGATACCACTCCCCTGCTTTGGTCTCCATTTTCTACAGGGTTTTTTTGTTGTCATATCTTTTAGAAACTATACTTCTTTGTAAGATAGAAGAGAATATTCTTCCTAGGCACCAGTTTCAGGCATTCAAAACAGAATGTTTTCTGGGTATAAACATCAATTCAGCCTCATGGGAATAGCTACAAAGCATCTATGAAAAGAAGCAGTCAATGAGATGTTGCTGACTATAAGGTGTTTTGCTTAAATGAATTAGTCAGACTCATATAACAAACTTTTGTTTCAGCACCAGTTAAGTCTATTTGGTGTCAAATCCCAGATAAATAGTAGAGTTAAAGAACAATGCTGTAGTTCCCCTGACAGAAAGAGCTGTGAGAGTTTAGCCTGTCAAAATCTATTAGTTAAACTTAGCAAGATAGTAGAAATAATGTAGCGCCCACTAAAACTAGCATGTTTTTTTTTTAAAGGGTATAAGCACCTTTCTGTAACATCTTCATAGGAGTCACTGTAGTTCTAGCCCACTATACTACAAAAAAATATGACAATTTGTTTGCCTTGACAAAAAATAACTCAATTAAGCAGCAATAAAATGGAAGAAAGGCAGATTAAGTCACTTCCTTCAAAACCTAATACAGCAAATAATCCACTTTACAAAGGAAATAATTTTAAACCAACTCATCCTGAGTAGTTATTGAAAGTTGTACCTTAGCCAGATGAAATTGCAACACTGTTGCAACTTCCCTTGATAGGTGCCTGACTACTTTTCTTAAAGTAATCCAGATGTGCCAACATTTAATGTCATAAAAGAAATGCATTAATCCTGATAAAAAAAAAGCTTTTCTTTGTAGCAAACATCCACAAAGAGCAGGCAGCTTTCTGGACAATTGTGTTGGTTGTACATTTGGCTCCATTTAGCTCTTTTAGGAACAAAATAACCAGAAGAAATGAAACCTTGAGTCGAAGTGGCAGAGCAAGCAATTACAGAGCATGAACACGGACCACTGCAGCAGTGCTCTGTTTGGCACGTTCACTGCATCTTTGTAAGTACATCAGAAAGGTCTGACATTACCTGAGGTACCCCACACACCTTCAAGAAACAAGTTTTTCCAAGCCAGACTGTGCAGTGCTGTCTCCTTTCCCTGACACTTAGAACAGGGGGACAAGCAAACATGAGTGCTGCAGGCTTGTTTCCAGAAGGCTTTCAAGCTTTGCATAAGCCCTAGTAGCATAGGAAAAGCATTTCAAATGAACTTTATTTTAAGTGAACAAAACAAAGAGTTGTAAATCGTGTCTCTCAAGGACTGCCAGCACTGGGCAAATCATCTTCCTCCCTTTCATCATTAAATAATGCAATAGTTAAGAAATTAACATCCCTCCTTTTCAATGAGTACGTTAAATGTTATGAATCCAACCTCTAAACCCAAAGAAACACAAGGAAAGCTGTTGTGAACCTTTTTTTTTGTTTTTAAATGTGTCCAAAAAGAAAAAGGAAAAAAAAAAAAGGGCTGGGATTTCTAATAGAAACTAACAGCAATAAGAAAACTGAAAACAATAAACAGTGGATAGAAATAAAGTATTTTAAGGACTGTGCATCAGTGTAAGCTCCTAGACACTGGAAACTAATTTAGCAGGTACATTTAAAAACTTGAACTAAGGAACACTAGAAAGCAACAGTACTTCTATTTAGCCTGTTCAAAGTTTGAACATAAACCATACCCCTCTGCACATAAGGCAAAGATCTAAAGGCCTTTTGATAAGAGGCTGTTGCCAGACTGGCTACGTAAATCGTCACTGAAACAAAGTAGCTATCACTTTTGAATGCAGATTATTATGCAGCCTAAAAAAAAAAAAAAAAAAAAAATGCACTGAGACACAAGATAAAAACAAACAAGAGAAACGGTGCAGCATGTGAAAGCTTTTTGACCAGAGCTTTCAATAAACCAAAAGCTGTATAAAAAAAATAAGTTCAGATTACTTCCAGTACACATCACCACCAAACAGCACAGCAAGATGTATACTTTGTTCTGCTGAATGTGAGAAAAAGTTTCAATACTGAAGAACTGAATCTGCCATTTCCTAAGTAAGGGCTGGATCAATGCTGTCAGTACATTACTGCAATTAAAGCAATTGTAAAATTTGGAGGAATTTAAAAAAGGAATGAAGGTCTCCAGGTAACAGAAAATGTATCTAAATGCATGGGCTCAGCTTCAGTTATCTCACCTAACAGCTGTGCAAACGAAAAAAAAGCGTTAAGAAATTACATGGTATCAACACAGGAAAGTTATTTTATTTCTCCTACAGACAAAGCAATAACTTCAACAGAAAAGTGCCACTCCATATTCCAATAGCAAATTAGAACATCATCACCACCACTTGTCCTTGTTGCACCTCTCCTGAGGGTTCCTCATGCAATAACCAAGATGACAGAGCAAAATATGTTTGTGCCCCTTAACCACATCTGGACAATCTCAAAAATCTATGCAGCAGGGAAGGAGAACCTGAACTGCAAATACTAAGCTGGAAGGGAAAGCTTAAGACATGGGTTGTGAACCTCCTCTGCCAACTTTCCTATGCATGCTGGTAAACTACAGTTAAGGGCCAAGACAGACAAGTTATCCTACATAATTTTCAAACCTCCTCAATGAGTTTTCTGTCAGAGAGAAACCACAATTGCTCTAGATCATCTCCCCTACTCATCCCCTTAATCTACTCCCTCATTTGCTTTCCCTCTCCCTCTTTTCTTTCACTGTCAAAAGCATGAAACTGAACACAAGACAGCTTTAGAACTGTTTGAGAATTAAAAGAAAATTCAAAGCTTGCCCCTAGACAGAGTGCAGAAGTGAGGACATAATCCCTTGCATAATTAATGGTCAAATTTGTATATAAAGAACATCAATAAAATTGAAGCAAATATATACTAGCCCTAAAGACTAACAATAATGAATTCCCAGGTCTCATTCTTAGCCCTCTTTTCTTTTTCAGTAAAGGACCCATTTTACACTGGAAAAGGGAGAGGTACTTTTTAACAACTTTAAACACTTCTACATTTTCCAGTCAGAGCATAGAGTTATGAGCACAGCGCTATGACTTATGGCAGACAATATGAAGAGAGCAGAAAATAATTACTGATTAGTAATTATTTTCATAAAAATCACTGATCTCCAAAACTCCAGATAATCTAGGTAACTAAGATATTCCTGCACATCTGTGATAAATCGATAGCGAAAAGTCACAACTCATAACAATTCCAGCTTCAATAACAAAAAAGAAAAAAAAAAATCATGCCTTTTATGGGCTGCTGGGGCTTTTTAATCCATGTCCTCACAAGCTTTCTTCTGAGACAAACCTGTCAGTAGTTTTTTTACCATCCTGAGCATGTACATCCATGTTACATACTGACATACTTTCCCTATTTTATCTATTAAAGCAAATAAATGACGTTTTTTATTTTTGGAGCCACTTACTAGAACAGCCCAGGACAACCAAGCAGCAAGTTCATACCCATGCTTGAGATGATAAATTCTCAAATACTGCGCTAGATGAGTATGCACATGAGAATCTCTTCAGAGACCACACTCTTAGCTCTTGCAGTCCTACTTGCTGTGCTAAAGCTCAGCAAGATGGTTGCCAACAGCATGGTACCAAGAACTATAGCTAAAAAGCAACTGTTCTCCAGCTGAGAAGCAAGTTTTGATTTCCACCTGGTGAGAAGAACATTGTAGAAACAGACATTTCTTTTTAAAGGCACTGTTCATATCACTCAGCTGAAAAGACACCTTTTAGACTATCACTTCCATCACAAGCTCATCACGGACACTGAATTCTTGGCACATCTCAACAGAACTGACTCAGTAGGGTCAAGCAGATCTAAATTTCAGGAGTTCCAAGAGAAAAAGAGAACATAAACAACAGACGCTAAAGGGACTAAAAGTGCCTCTGGCAAGGCCAATTAATTATTTCAAGTATACTTTGATTTAAAAAATTCTGTTCAGGTGTTATTTTTATTCTTCTCAAAAGCCAATGCCATGGTTTGCATATATGAGACAGAAACTGGGAGATTGCTATTACTCAACTCATTTTCAAGAAGCATGAAAAATGATCTTCAGCCTAGAACATGAAGCAAGACATTAAATATGAAAATAGAGCAGATTGTCTCAGCTGCCACTAGGGCCAGCCCAGCACGTCTGCCTCCTCATGCCAAATCACTCACAAGTCCTAGCTCTAGGAGTACTCGGCGCCTGCGGAGAGAAGACAGGAATGTGCCTCTCTCCCCACTCCTGTCCGCAGCGCTGCCGTTTCCTCCGGCTCCCGACAACCCGCGAGACAAAGCCCTGCCTGGCTGCGGCCTAGCGTAGGCGGGACAGTCAAGGGCACAGCAGGCAGAATCAGAGCGAGAGAACCCGGCCCGGCTTCATCCCGCCGTGACTCGACACTTTCCGGAAAGAGAAGCCGGGAGGAAGGCCGCGAAGGTACCCAGGGGCCCCCTGCAGGCAGGCGCCAGACCGTGAGCGCGCGAGGAGCGGCCCACTCAACACCTCTACCTCCTCGGGGGTCGCACGACGTAGCGAGATCAGGAAACATCGGCCCAGCCCAGTCTGACCCAGCCCAGGCAACGCTACATCGTGATGAAACAAGGGAAGTGGAGCTAAACTACGCTGGGCCGGGACCAGCGCATCAGCCGCCAGGCCTAGGCCCCGGCCAACCGCCGGGCAGCCCACACTTACTCAGATCCCGAGGCCATGGCGCTGAGGGGGAAAGGGGTGAGGATAGGCGCGCGGCGACGGCTCCTCAAAGTGGGTAGAAGGTCTCGGAGCAGATTCGTTACAACAGCAAATCGAGACGCTTCACGCTGACTGAACCTCAGAGCCGACTCATCAGAAGAGGAAGCTCCACCCCGCACCTCTTCACCTGCCTAGCAACAGCGTGCTCTGGCCAATCGGAAATTCCGCCCGGTGAGTGCCTCAGCCAATCGGAAAGGGGAAGCGGGGGAAAGAGGAAATAAAAGAACGAGCGCCCTCCGTCTTCTCTCTCTTCCCTTTCCAATCGTTATGAGTCAAGCGCGACAGTCATCAGCCAATCGCAGTGGCCCTCTCTGTCATGGTTGCTCTACCAGGCAACACAGGCCGGACAGCCAACGGCAAAAATCCGCCAATAGGAAAATCGAGGCGGGAAGGCCCGCCCCGACAGCGAACCTTGCCTCGCGATTGGCTAGTATATGAGCAAAGAGAAACGGAGTAGGGAGCTACAGCCAACGAGAAGGGCGAGAGGCAAGTGACTGAAAGCTCAGAGAGCGTCACTGGTGCGCTGAGCGCGCCCGGGCTCAGCCGTGCAAGCCATATATGGGCGAGAGTACAGGGACTTGCTCCGTAGCTGACGTCACCCAGCAAGGACGGGGGCCCGGGTACAGAATGCTGGGTCAAGTCAAGCCTTTCACTTGGATCTGATTTTAAAGTGTTTGAGTTTGTTTTT